GGGAGAAACGTTTTAAGCGTTAGGCCTAATTTGGTGAGAAAGTCGTGTTAAGTGCTGATATAGTGGATTAGTTGGCAAATCATTTTACACTTGTAAGGATTTAATTGGCCACCTGGATTTTTCGTCTGCTATGTAAACACGTCAAGTAACGAATTGGATCCAATGAGTAATGGGCAATTACGGATTGAAGTTCAGTGGCCAATGGGACAAGTTTTAAAGTTCAGTGAATAAGCTGTGACATAGTCAAAATTTCGGTGGCCAATGAAACATTTACCTCTTTAGGGTTTATACAATTTTCTGACATAAACAATTTTAAGTAATCCTATGGGATTCTACTAAAAAAAGAATTAATTGTTTTAATGGTCACTGAACTTAACTCCATGTCTTTGATTGATCATTGAAGTTTAAAATGTCGAGTTTTGATCACTAAACTTTGGTTAATGTCTTCGATTACTCATTGAAATTTAAAATGTCGAGTTTTGATCACTGAACTTTGAAAATGTTGTACGTTTCTTACTAATATAAATGTTGAATTTTGAAAACTGTCGAGTTTTCAGTGAGTAATATACAATATTTTTCAAAGTTCAATAGTCAAAACTTGAAGTGAATTGTCCAAATGATCACTGAACTATGCAAAAGGTTTCCAAGGGGTCATTGAACTTTACAAAAAAATTCTATGGGGTCACTGAACTTTGCAAAAGGTTTCCCAAGATTTTCAGTGACCCCTGGGAAATCTTTTGCAAGGTTTAGTGACTTCATGAAAGTTTTTTGCAAAGTTCAGTGACTGTTTAGATGATTTTTAAAGTTCAGTGACCCCGTAGAAATTTTTTACAAAGTTCAGTGACTATTTATGTGATTTTTAAAGTTCAGTGACCTCTTGAATTTTTTTTACAAAGTTTGGTGACCATTTAGACAATTCGCTCCTAAAACTCGATATTTTAAACTCCAGTGAGTAATTAAAGATATGGATTTAAATTCAATGACCAAATCTAGACATTTTAAATTTCAACAATCAATCAAAAGTATGAACCTAAGTTGAGGGACCATTGAAACAATTAAGTCTACATTTTACCAGGGGTACTTTTAAGTTTGGCTTTGTCAAACCAACCATTTTTCATTTTAACCAAAAAAATCTAACATTCACCACAATGGTCATTTCTTGTGTAAAAGACAAAAACGCCCTTAAATGAGTTATATAATTAAAAAAATAGAAATATGGTAAAAAGACAAAAATATCCTTAAGCTACAAATAAAAATCCAAACACGTCTCAATTGAAATTTGAAAACGAAGTCAGTCTTTTCATCAGTTTACTCTAACACGATAAAAACTCTTTCGTTTTTCATCCACTTCAACATCAAAATTTCATAAACTTAACCGTTATCAACCTCAACAGAAAATTTTCGTTAAATTTCAGCACTTCAATTCAGTAAGTATCTTTTCCTAATATTTAATTTTATTTTTATTGAAGTCGTATATTTTTTTTAAATGGTAGAAAAAATAATATTAGAGCTAAAGTTCAGGCCGGCACCGATTTGACGCCGGAACTCGTTCGATAACGGACGAACGGACCGTCCGGACTGTCCGTTTGCAGACTCCCCCGTCCCTCGATTCTGATAATTTTATTTCTGATAATTTGTTCTGATATTTTTAATTCGTAATGCAGATATGGCAAAAGCATATGTCCCAATCTGTTATTTCGGCGAATTTCAAAGGAAAGAAAATGGTCAATGGGAATGGAAATGGACGAGTGAAGGAGAAGGGGTTGCTGCTATTTCGATAACAAAAAATGCTTCGTTTACAGAAATGTACAGTGAAATACAAAACATGCTTAACGTCGATTCCTCTCAGTACGATATGGAATTGAGATTTTTATTTCAAAAGCATTCAACAATTTCGATTCCACCTTTGAAAGTTACTTCTGAAGCGCAAATAAAGCATCTAATTCAATTGAACCAAGATCGAAAGACGACTCCTATTTGCGTAAGTTTGTTTAAGAAAAATGTCATCGAGGGTGAACAAGAAGTTTTTGATGGAGAGGATCGTAATGAGAATGATTTTTGGGATACTGTTGAGATTGCTCGGGAGGATGATGTGGTTATTCA